TCCTTCCTGCTGGGCCATAGGCCAAAGCAGCTTATTTATTAACCAATGTGTAGCTAGAGTTTTCCTGCCTTGCCCACAGTCAGGACAAATCTTTGTCACCAGCCAGTCCCACAGCCGCTCAGACACAACCAAGAAAACACAGATACTTATATTGCTTACAAACTGTATGGCCATGGCAGGCTTCTTGTTAACTGTTCTTATAGATTAAATTAATCAATTTCCATAAATTTATAACTTGCCAAGTGGCTTGTGACTTATTGGCATCGTCACATGCTGCTTGTCATGGTGGCGGCCTGCAGTGACTCCTTCCACCTTCCTGTTTTTTCTCTTCTGCTCTCTGTAAGTCCCGCCTATTCTTCCTGCCTAGCCACTGACCAATCAGTGTTTTATTTATTGACCAATCAGAGTAATTTGACATACAGACTATCCCATAGCACCAATGAGAGCAATACATATTCACAGCATACAGAAAGACACCCCACAGCATCTTCTTCCCTTCTCCACCTTTGAACCAAAGTAAGGGCTGAAGTTCTAGTCTGTTTACCTCTTAGCAAGCAGCCTGCCTTATAGCTCATGGATTTGTGCCTCCTAGACTGAGTTCTCCTAAGTGTGAAGAGTCGAAGAGCCCCTTCCAACTTTTCCTGGTCAGCTTCTGGAACCTCTAGACAGAAAATATACTTTGCACCATGGTTTATGTCTCTTTGGCATGAGGTTACAGAGCTGGTTTCCATGGGACACACAGATGGAATGTACTCCAGATGGGTCTTCTGGCTCCCTCAGAGCATGGTTTCCCTCTACCTACTCATGTTTTCCCAATACCATGAACAGTTAAGCACCAGGGTGTGTGTGCAGGAGGTAGGAGATCCAGTCTTCATAGGTACATGGATCTCTTTTGCTGTCAGGGTCTTCAAAAGTAGTGTAAATCTTTCTGGAATTTGGCTATTCTCTGCCTTTGGCCTGCACCTGAGTGATGCCGCCATGGCTAATGAGAGCTCCAGCCCAGGGCTGTTGGGGATGGGGACATGGGACCTTGCAGGAATCATGGTATTAGGAGGCAGGAGTGCCAGATGGAGGTGGACCTCATCATTTCTTGTGATACTTCACCACCCTCTACAGTCAGCACCTGAGTGAACAGACTCAGCTGAAGGAAAAAGTGAAAATGTTGCTAGAAGACAAGAAAAAGCTGCAGGGGGAGCAGATTTTACTACAAGATTCCTGTGAGGAGGCAAAGAGGCTCTGTGAGGAGGCCCATGGGAAGATGTATGACCTCTGGACAAGGCAGCTGCAGGTAGGTTGAAGCAGTAGGGCCAACTTGGCCACCAATTTGGCCATACACACACATATGCACACACCCATGTAACCATCTATTTACTTATCCAACTGACCCATCCCATCCAATAGTTCACTTCTGTGATCATTTACAAGTCTTTCTGGGGAGTTAGCCTCTTAGAGCAAGCAAACCCTACTGCTCTGCTGGAAGTCACAATCCATTGAGGGAGACTGGTCAATCACATAAGCAACTCACCTGTATGTCAGTATAGGAAGAGCCATGCTATGATGGAGCCACAGAGATCTGAGTGAGTCAGGTCAAGGGTCTGGGTCTCATTTGCTTGGCAGGGGTCATGTGAGATCAGAGGCAGACACAGCATGGAAGGAGGAACGCCCCCTAAAAAAGCAACATGACCGGGGCTCATAGACATCTTTTTGGGTGTCATATGGCATTTTACCCTCTTGTTCCCAGACTGCCATGGTGTTCTCTTTACTTGGCCAATCTCTTGGTTCACAATTCAAAAAACTAAATTAACAGTTTGTCACTACTATTTGCTGTGAGTGGCATTGGCCAGTTCTCCCATCCTGGATCTTACATTCAGAAGCCCATTGGATGACCAGGGATGTGGCAAGGGCTTTTAACAGGCAGGGTTCAGGGTGGCAGATTTGAGCCAAATGCATAAACATAGCCTGCAGAAACACAGCATGCTTCCCCAGGCATTTTTAGTCCAAAATTATGCAGAACTGTGGGACTAACTTATAACAGCTATTGTGAGGAGTATTAATCCAACTGGTAATGTCATCCTCATTCTGTGTGATGTCCTCCTCACTGCGTTCTGATCACTGATGATTTGAGGGGTATGTGTCTGTGTATGAGTTTGTCTGTCTGAGGGTGCATACATCTGTGGGTGTTTTGGAAGGTCTGATGATGACATCGAGTGTCCTCTGTTGCTTTCTCCCTTATGCTCTTCAGCCTGGGTCTCTCACTGAACCTGAAAATTTCTGTTCTGGCTAAGCTGGATAGCCACAGATCTTTGGATCTCCTGTCTCCTCACAGTTGAGTGTCCTGTCTTTTTCTGTCTCATTTCATTGCTAAGTGGTACATTTGGTCAGAAAGAGAATTGACTTGTTGGTTTCTCTTCATTTTTAAACATTTTTATTACATTGGAATTAATGCATCTTATAATAAATAACAAAAATCAAACAATGGAGCTACTTTAAAAATAAAAAAGTAGATTACTAGC